ATGCTTAGGAAAGGTGAGTGTCGATTTGGATCAATATGTAGGTTTTTCCATCCTGACATGTGCCAAACCTCACTGGAGGACAGAAAATGCTATGACCTCAGCTGCCCACACTTTCACGTGAAAGGCACGGAACGCTACATAAAGAGTGGCAAGCAGGATAATGAATTTGGAGGAAACTGTATAAATTTTTTATACCAGACCGGCAGAGAATTCAAAAGGAGCAGCATGGAGAGTGTATGGAACTGGATGCCAGATCCACTTGCATTCCTGAATTACAGATACAATTACCCACCGAAAGGGAACTACAACTACGACAGACAACTGCCCTACAACAATCAGTACTGGTCAGAACAAACTCATTACGTCCACGAATAATGGGCTTGCCGAAAAAGTCTCCCATTCAAACTATCACTAATAGAGTAACCTCATTCATCTTTGCCAACATACAAGGACTGAAAACAAGAACAAACAACAAAGTACAGTTCATAAATGGCCTCCTCACGGAGTCAAATGCAGTATTTGGAGCTTTCACAGAAACCCATGCAGGGGAATTGTTGGACAGTGAGATCTGGATTCCAGGATATAACCTATACAGGTGTGATAGGAAAATTAGGTCACATGGAGGAGTGGGTCTGTATATTAGGGAAGACCTTGTATGCTCGGAGCTCCTAAACGTTACAAATGAGGTGGTAGAGGTACTGGGATTAAAAATAGAGAAAATAAATTTAGTGATTATTCTAATATACAAACTGCCAGATGCAACGGCTGAGGAATTCACAGAACAGATAAGTAAAATAGAGAATAGCCTTGATAATTTGGAAAACCCGATACCTGATATTATCTTCCTAGGTGACTTCAACTTGCCTAGTCTCAGGTGGAAAATAGCAAACAATAATATTATACCAGGAAATCTATCAGGACCTAACCACCCACAGATTAGAGAACTACTTAGATTCTGTGACAAATTTTCACTCAATCAGCAGATATCGGAGCCAACGAGAAATGAAAATATTCTAGATCTGGTCTTTATGAACAATGAAGACATTATCAGAGACATTACGATATCAGATACCACATACTCAGATCACAAACTCATTGAAGTGCAAACGACCATCAATACTCAGAATAGACCTAAAACGTTGATAAAGCGAGAGGGGCTATTCAGTAAATTCAATTTTAATAATAAAAGGATAGACTGGGAGATAATAAACAGGGAACTTACAAACATTCCATGGGGAACTGTTCTAAGTAATACAAGTCCTACAGAAGGAATAGAAAAACTGACTTCAGAAGCGTATCAAGTCTGTCTGAAACATGTTCCTTTGAGGAAAGCCAGAAAGAGATCTAACGTAGAAAGAGAACGCAGACGACACTATAAACGCAGGAAAAAAATAACAGAACTGCTTATGCAGACACGAATTTCCCGTCAAAGAAGGAATAATTTAAATAGGGAGATTGAAGAAATCGAGTGGAAATTGAAACACTCATATGAAACTGAAGAAAGGCAGTTAGAACAGAAAGCAATTCAGGAAATAAAGAAAAATCCAAAATATTTCTTCTCATATGCGAAATCAAAAGCAAAAACCACTGCCAGTATTGGACCTATTCGTACAAGTGAAGGTTCATACACGGAGGATGATAAAGAAATTAGTGAAATCCTAAAAAAGCAGTATGAGGACATGTTTAGCACTCCAATAAACAACATGAAGGTGGAAGATCCAGACAATTTCTTTATGCGGGATATTCAAACCCCTGTAAATATAACTGATATAAACACGAGCGCACTAAATTTTGAAAAAGAAATTGAAAACATGCCCATGCACTCGGCCCCAGGTCCAGACTCATGGAATTCAATATTTATAAAGAAATGCAAAGTGCCGGTAGCACAGGCACTCAGTATAGTGTGGAGGAAGAGCTTGGACACAGGGGAGATTCCAGATGCACTTAAAGTAGCAGACATAGCCCCTCTACACAAGGGAGGGAGCAAAGCATTGGCAAAAAATTATAGACCAGTTGCACTAACATCGCACATCATAAAAGTATTTGAGAGAGTGATTAGGAGTCAGGTCACCAATTTCATGGAGACCAATGACCTTCACAACCCAGGCCAACATGGATTTCGAGCGGGTAGATCGTGCCTCTCACAGCTACTTGAGCACTACGACAAAGTCACTGAGGCATTAGAAGAAAAACAGAATGCTGATGTGATATACACGGACTTCGCAAAGGCTTTCGATAAATGTGACCATGGCGTGATAGCACACAAAATGAAGTCAATGGGAATAACCGGTAAAGTAGGACGCTGGATACTCAGTTTTCTGTCAAACAGGACTCGGCGAGTAACGGTCAACCATATAAAATCTAGTCCAAGTGCAGTGAAAAGCTCTGTACCTCAGTGTACAGTCCTTGCACCGCTGCTTTTCCTTATTCTCATATCAGATATAGACAAAAATACAAGTCACAGCTTCGTATCATCCTTTGCAGATGACACAAAAATCAGTATGAAAATTACCTCGGCTGAGGACATTGAAAAACTTCAAGCTGATATTAATAAAGTTTTTGACTGGGCATCAGAAAATAACATGATGTTTAACAGTGATAAATTCCAGGTACAGTACTCAGGTACGGTAAAAATGAGGACCTTTAACAAAACACAATCAAATGTACCCATAGTAGGAAAACAGCATGTAAAGGATTTGGGAATAATAATGTCTGATGACCTAACGTTTAAGGAGCATAACCAAGCAAATATTGCGACAGCCAGAAAAATGATAGGATGGATTACGAGAATTTTCAAATCCAGGGATCCCATCACAATGGTTGCACTCTTCAAGTCACTTGTGTTGTCCCGTCTTGAGTACTGCTCAGTACTCACTTCCCCCTTCAGAGCAGGAGAGATTGCTGAAATAGAGGGAATACAGAGAACATATACGCCATGCATAGACGCAATAAAGCACCTAAATTATTGGGATCGTCTCAAAGCCCTCCAAATGTACTCACTAGAAAGAAGACGAGAGAGATATCAAATAATATACACCTAGAAGATACTGGAGGGCCAAGTACCAAATCTACACAGTAAAATAACAACGTACTGGAGTGAACGATATGGAAGAAAATGTAGAATAGAACCAGTGAAGAGCAGAGGTGCCATAGGCACAATCAGAGAACACTGTATAAACATCAGAGGTCCGCGGTTGTTCAACGTCCTCCCAGCAAGCATAAGAAATATTGCCGGAACAACCGTGGACATTTTCAAGAGGAAACTAGATTTATTCCTCCAAGGAGTGCCGGACCAACCGGGCTGTGGTGGGTATGTGGGCCTGCGGGCCGCTCCAAGCAACAGCCTGATGGACCAAACTCTCACAAGTCAAGCCTGGCCTCGGGCCGGGCTTGGGGAGTAGAAGAACTCCCAGAACCCCATCAACCAGGTATCAACCAGGTAAGGTCGAGTTAGAGTCCTTGAGGGTCTCTTCTCAGACTAGCCTCACCTGGTCCTGCTCCACGTTGATCGTTGGAATCTCCTCAATGATTTAACACTTTACTCTCTCAGGGTTACTCTCTCAGACTCTCAGGGTCCTCATCACATTTATAGTTTAGTGAATTAGGCAACTCGGTGTTGAAGACCCCTAGAGCTGAAGGCTTGAGTAATTGATCGGCAGTATTCAGTAGTTCAATGGAAACACCGCATAAAGCTTAACAGTAATTTATTTACTAACTTAACCACTAATACAAAGGGTGCTGGATTTACTTTAGATTGGTGTCAGAAAGGCTATGGTTGCATTACTCTTGGTGTCTGGCTAATCGACTCTGATCCACTCGTGGCGAAACACCTAACTTAACACAGTTGACAGCCAATCATTAACACGGCAACCTAACTGCGTGTATGCAAAGGGATCACAAGAGTTCCAACCGGATACTCGGGTAATGATGATATGCAATAAACACAATGGCACTGTCAATGGGACAGGCAATAACATGCACAATAATATCACACAATAACTAAATGTGTGGTGTATGTGAAGCTCACATTCACAGACGAGTGAAATGCCGTGATACCACACAGATAACACGCATACACCGTCGATTCACCTATAACCTGTGACAGGTATGAGAAGGTGAGAACTGTGGTTGATATCTCAGGTCAACACAGACACAATAAAACAATGACAAGATCTTGTACTTACAGATAAGGTACCTTTCCTTACTCACTCACTCAGACACATTTATGCAAGAACTCGTAGGTGGCCTGACAGCTGGTTTCGCTCGTAGACACAGAGGGTACTCGCAATAGGGTGTACTGTATGTCTACAAACACATGCACACACTCTTGGCACTGGCGGTGAGTAAGGGTGGTGATGTCACGTGGTACAGTGAGGGCGGCGGTGGCTGGCGGCTGCAGGTTATATGGTACCATGCACTACACTGTACACTGTGGTAAAGTCACACACAGATTACTTAGGTGGCGGCACTGCCTTAGTTCACTCACAACGATCTTTGTCACCAGGGGTTACCTGATACCAGTCTGTTTCGCTCTGGTGATTTTGTCACTATAGGTTTCTGAGCAATATATTCACAATCGTGATTCTGGTGTTCAGGTCCTGGTTCTGGCTGTCTAGCTCAGGTCCTGGTTCTGGCTGTCCAGCTCAGGTTCTGGTTCTGGCTGTTTAGCTCAGTTCCTGGTTCTGGCCGTCTAGCTCAGGTCCTGGTTCTGGCGGTCTAGTTCAGGTCCTGGTTCTGGTTCTTTAGCTCGGGTCCTGGTTCCGGCTCTAAAAATAGGCTATTAAGGACAACTGTCTCTGATGTGACTCATGTGCGTGGAGCTATCTCAGTGCGGCTAGCTACAGCGAGCCACCATTCAGCCCTTCCAGAAAGTACCTGCCTTTCAATATAAAAACCAACAGATATCTCTGAGAGTGTTTAAGGGTGTTAGTTTTCCCAGTAACAGAGAGATATGTATATATAAAGTGTGAGATGCAGGGATTGGGAAGGGGAACACTCACTAAAGTCTATGAGGAGTCTGCCGAAGCCCTGCCGCTGGTAAGGTGGAAGTGTCATGATGCAAGACACGTTGTAGTTGAGGAAGCTGTTTTTCTCCTGAAACATGGAATCAACAGAACCAACAAATTAGTCAACTTTGAGATAGCACACACAATATATCTCTTTGTTAATCTACACATCTATATTTATATATCTATATCTATCAATGGAAATGTCTGTCTGTTTGTCAAGAACAGTACCAAGAAACACTGTTACTTGGCACGTCACACTTCCACCCCAACAAACCTTTTGAAATACTGTACCATATGACTTGACTAAATAATAATTATTCTTAATACTACTACCACTACTACAACTACTACTACTACTAATGATAATAATAATAATAATAATAATAAAATCCATAGGAGCCGTGACGAGGGTTCGAACCTTTGTGGGAGGTGTTCCCATGCACACGCCCTAGTCAACTAGACCACAACATGGTACAGGTATAACGATTGCAACCTGGAGTTCTACTGAACACACAGGGATTTCCTGAGGCTTCTACAATTCTACTTCTCAGGAAATCCTTGTGTGTGTTCAGTAGAACTCCAGGTTGCAATCCTTATAACATGTCATGGCCTAGTTGACTAGGGAGTGTGCGTGGAACACCCACTGCATAGGTTCGAACCCTCATCACGGCTCCTATGGATTTTCTCATTGATGCAGTCACGTTAGTGTGATCACTCTGTGTAGTAGTAGTAGTAGTAATAATAATAATAATAATAATAATAATAATAATAATAATAATAATAATAATAACAATAACAACAAAACCAGCGTTAAATGTAATGAAACTCCAATTTCTGGGTGAGCCCCATAGCCTCCCTAGAACTATTGGACTGATATGCGATATATTAATCTGGAGCATCAGTCAATTGGAGTTCAACCTACTGAGGACCATGAGCCAGAACCTGGCCCCCTCAGAGAGGCACAAAGAGTAATGACCTATGGAAACCCCCATGTGGTTAGGGGTATTCCATATCTGCCATCGACTGGGGTTAGGCATCTAGAAAGGTAGGCATAACAAAACAAACCCCACTTGGTAAGAAAATTGCAACTGAAGACCGAGCAGAGAGGCAGAACTGCTGCCATGCCGCTTATCTGCGCAGCCCTTCCCTTCCTGGGAGAGGGGAGCCCTAGACTCCCCGCGCCGGCTACTCACATCTACAGTTCGGAGGCTGAGCATCAAAAACAAAACGAAACCGCTGACCGGAGGGAGGGATGTAGGTCGCACTTTTCATCATCACATCAGCCAGTGGTTTGTTTTGATTCACCTCCCTTTCTGGGTTCCTTCCCTGGTCGATGGCAAGAAGACATACTTTAAAAGTAAAGTGGTCATGGCCATTGCTCCCTTTGCCTCTCTGAGGGGGCAAGGTTCTGCCTTGTGGTCCCTAGTAGGCTAAACAGGACTTTGTGACTGATGACACTCAAGTAGTATGACTTTCACAAGTCACGGTGGTCCAGTGGTTGAGTATGCGACTGGCAATGCCGGGGTCGTAGGTTTGCGCCACCTCACAGTCCTGGTGGATTTTCTCATTGAATGTAATGAAATGCCAGTTTCTGGGTGAGCCCATTGACTCCCTGAAGCTATTACACTGAATCAGTGCCATCATTTGCGGAGATTTTATTGGCTTACCGGGGACCACGAGTCAGAATGTGGCCCCCCCCCCTCAGAGAGGCGCAGGAAGCAGGTGGCACTAATGAAACCTTTTATATGAAGTTATTCATGTCTGCCACCATCCAAGGGGAAGGCACCCAGAAAGTTAATGAAACAAAACAGACTACTACATGGTTAGAAATGAGACCACAGCCTCAAACCCACCAAAAGAACTCCAACAAAATATAAATATGTAAATAAACGATAAAAAAATGACTAAAACTAGCTTTTGTTAGCTCGCTCACCCTCCCTCCCCTCATTTGGAGGGAAGGAAGGAGGCGGCAGGCCGGGCCAGCCTGCCGCTCTACCATCAGTTTTTATGATGATGGAAACACCACTCTTGCACTGAGGAAAGGAGGGTGTCAGGGAGCCACCAGGACTGGGTGAGGCAACCTACACATTAGGCTGGCTACTATAGCATGAACTCTCAAACCCACCACAAAAGTCATTCAAGTCAGGGTAGGGGCAATGCCAAATGAGCACCTCAGGAAAGGTAGCCCTAATGATATGCAGCTTGAGGCAAAAACTGACCAAAATTCACACAAGTGAGGCTTGTGCACACACACACACACACACACGTGAAGCTATCACTGAACCTTAGAAGAAGATACAATACAAGTAAAAGACCCCCACAAGTTCAAATTATGGCCCACACTTATCTAGAGTTCAAAAACCTGCAGGCTGGCAAATTAGGAGCAGTCCACATGGGGACATCAGCAACAGGACTGAGCTCTGTTGACATAGGGAGCTAGTGCTCCAGTGGTGCTGCCACCTAGCAGCAGCTTTTTTTTTTTTTTATTTTCTACCACAGACATGGCCACACATTTACAATGCTAACCAGCAAATATACATTTACTTCTGTCCTCCATGGACAGGGTGAGAGATCTGTTAAACATATAGTTCAGGGATTTATTGATCAACCAACCACAGAAGGTGATCGTAGTGCATATAAAATGCTAATCTAACCTATAGACATAAATACAGAGATACACAGAATTACGTCTGCCCTACATAAAGTGGTCGATGTGTTTAACCAGTGGGTTCAATGAAACTGCTGGGTGGATTGTTTACCGAGTCATTTGTTGCTTGGCTTCTTTCTCTCTGTGAACCAAACAGATAGCTATTTTGCTTCACTTACTTTCAGAATGTTTCCTTAGTGAGGGTGATGAAAATAATCCTCTGCTCCCTGTGCCTCGGTGAGGGAATAAGGGACCAGATTTTGGCTCAGGTCTCCAGTAGGCAATATGAACTCCTAGGGTTGATGTGACCTACTTGTGGAGCTACCTCAGGGAGCTAGCTTGAGGGAGCCACCATTCGGGCTCTCAAGAACGTGAACTAGTAAAGTGGTTCAGAAGATAATTTATGATCTAAAATATAATAAAATGCATTTACATACCTTACTGAAATAGCCAATTATGTGACAACCCTCACCATCTGCTTGAGTCATAATATAAAAGAGGAATGGTTCAACATCGTAGTAAAGCGTTTTGTGGTCAAGAAAAAGCATAGCCAGTAGGCACAGATTTTGACAATATATCTTGTACTTTTTGCCATCCACCTCCCATACAGATAACTTATCTTTTCTGTAAGGAAGAAAATATAAATGGTCAACTGGAGTTCATTTGTGGCAAATACACCCATGTAATAACTATGCACAGTTGTACTTCAATTTCTGCGAGGAATTTAATCTGGGAATCCTCACAAAGTGAATTTACAAAATTCAAACTAAAATTTGCATATAATGAAATGCTCTTTTCTGGGTCACAGTGGCCCCCCCCCCATCCTCCCCAGAGCTTACGCTGGTACCTCAGGGCCAATATCATTGCAGCAGGCATCTCAGACTATCTCATAGCCTTCTGGGAGCAGGGACTATAATCCTGTATCAGAGGCATAGAAGCTGAGGGTGTCACAAGATACCACACCCACTGGGAATTTTTTTTAATGGAGAATGTAATGAAAAGTTACTTTCTAGTAACTTGTATGGTAGCTTCCTAAGCTATCCACATGGAACATTCCAAACTTGGGAACCACACCATGTTCTAATGAATCATGAACCCCACAAAAGGGAAGTCTGGGGATACAAAATTACCATACAGTACTACCAAATGAAAGACCATGTGAAAGGTAGAGCACATCAAAACAAGAAACTACAGTACTTGGGCAATATATGCAACAAGATGTGAAAAGTGTACATGCTCATTGTCAAGGTTCAACCACTAGTTGCATAAAACCACTCTCACATAAAACTCCACCTGTGATGATCAGAAAGCGTCTCAAACCTTCCAGATAAGTCATACCACCAATCTGCTGAGAGAGGCAAAGACTTGGAAAGGCAAGATGACTGGGACAACTGGTTACATTGAAGCCAGCAAGAAGACTCGACCTGTAAAAGGTTTCAACTGGGCCAACACACCAGAGGGAAGAGGTAAAGGTCAAGCCAAAAGGCATCCACAATTAGAACCTCATGATATGAAAAGAATGCCACATGGACCAAGAGCTGCAATTAATTGCAGCGGTTGAATGTCTTACAAAGCCAGAGGAAGAACGGTTCATTGTATGACTACTACATTGAGATCAGATTAAAACAAGAAAACCGTCCTTGAGGATGTTTGATGCACCCCAAATGGGAACCGCCAAGAGTAATAAATTCTGAGAAGCCAAAAGCCGGACTATCCACAGGGTCCAACTCTATTGAGAAAGGGAATAAACAAATCTCCCAGGTTGAGGCACTGGACCACCTTTTGAATTAAGGCAAAGAGCAATCTTGCAAGAGAATAATATTCAGAAGTATCATCCAGATGGCCACAGACTCCCAGAGTGTGATATATGCCGGCCACAGACAAGGAGTCCATCTTCCTTAACTAGCATGGCAACAGCAGAAGAAGAACTCCCAGATGAGGTACAATGCATCTGTGAACAGCTCAAGTAACAGGAGGGCACAATGGCACTGATCCCCAAAATGTTTGAACAGGAAGATGACATATAAAGATCCTATGACTGAAGCAAGAGAATACCCACCAGAGAACAAGATACAGTACTGTACCTTCAACTAGACCTGAAGTTGAGGTGAGAAATGTCCCTTTCCCCTCCCAAGTAACAAGTCAAAACAGAAAACTCAATACCGAGGCTTCAGCCTAAGAACAAAATACACCAAGGAAACCAAAGCCAGCAGGTTAAGGGAACTTTCATGGACCACCCATGGGAAAACTCCAGCGGCCCCCAAAGGTGGGGAATTGAATTGCCAAACACAGCATGTAGAATCCCAAAAAGAAAACAAGAACTGATAACTAGCATATAGCCACTGGCTCAGTGCAGGAACCAAAGCAGGTTCTACCATTAAAATGAGACCTCCAAAACCTACATCATAGGAAACCCAAGCAAGGAACCAGTGATCATAAACATATCTGCAGGGAAGTGGAGGAGGAAACCAAGACAACCACAGATCATCCTCCAGAAATCAGAAAATCCACCACAATAAAAACAAAAGACTAGCATTCCCACTGGAATTTTATGCACGCAAAACAAAATTACTAATTCTTGCAAGAAGTGGGAGAAAAAAATCTGGATGAGTCCTTTGAGGCTCACAGAGGCTACTATCTCCGATAGTCGATAGTGTGCCATACTACTAGGTGCCATCAGTCACAGAGTTCTATTAGCCTACCAGGGACCACGAGCCAGAACCTTGCCCCCCTTAACGAAGTGCAGGGAGTGGAGGCACACAAGGTAAAGGTTTGGTGAATATATTCATGTCTTCACCCACTGAGGGTGGCATCCAGAGAGTCAATGAAACAAAACAAGCTTACAGCTTGCTGTAACACCCTCAGTTCTTCTCTTATGGTAGTGAGTGTCAGGTCACCTCCTGGCTGCCAGACAATCCCTTGTTTTCACTTAGGGTTTGGCACAGTTTTTATCATACCTGCACTCTGGAGTGGCATGAGGTGTCGACTGCATTACAGGTGCTCCTGGTGGCCTGTCTTTTACACCTCTCAATGACTGCATTGAGCTCGGGCTCCTGCTCTTTCTTGGGACATTGGTCTCATGCAGCTCCACTCCTAGGTTTCCCTGACGGCGATGCTTGTGGTGTTGCAGACCTTTGCGCCACTCTGCATCTGGGTTCCATTATGCGTGTCCTGGGACTCCTTGCGCTACATATTGGTTGGCTCATGGAAGATTTTGGAGCATTCGGCAGTGGGGCCACATGTGGGGATGTTGGCCTTCGCTGTTGCAGCATTGGGTGAGCTCCCCAAGCTATATATTCCCGTGCTCTGAAAGGCAGTTGCCACGTTCTTTACCTGCTAACTTGCATGTTGACAGGCTGTGTTGGCCTAGTCTTTTGATTCAACATGCAAGCTCTCCTGTCCTACCCAACTCTCCTGTCCACCTCTCTTATTTCCTGCTCCTCTTTCCCCAAAGACGTTGTCTCCCAGTTCCTGTCTTCGGCGGCTACATCTTGTCAACCCCTGACAGCTGGGTAGACTGTGCTTCGGGTTCGTAGTCCTGAGGTTCTGGGTTCGATCCCCGGTGAAGGCGGAGACAAATAGGCAAAATGTTTCTTTCACCCTGATGTCCCTGTTACCTAGCAGTAAATAGGTACCTGGGAGTTAAACAGCTGTTACGGGCTGCTTCCTGGGGGTGTGTAACAAAAAGAAGGCCTGGTCGAGGACCGTGCCGCGGGGACGCTAAGCCCCGAAATCATCTCAGGATAACCTCCAGATAACCCATTATGGACCTCTTTGGGTTCAGGGCTTTTGTTCTAGAGCTTAGATGTAGTTGGGTAAGACTGGGGCATAACCTTCTGTTGGTCAGGATAGGCCATCGGCCATCCTTTGCAGATGACACTAGGATTTTCATGAGAGTAGATAACATAGAGGACATGGCAAACCTCCAATCAGATGTAAATCAGGTCTTTCTATGAGCTACAGAAAATAATATGGTGTTTAACGAAGATAAGCTTCAGCTCATGTGCTACGGAAAAAATGAAAATATAAAAACGGAAACCATGTACAAAACGCAGTCAAATCATAACATAGAACTAAAAGGCAATGTAAAGGATTTGGGTGTACTCATGTCGGAAGACCTTACCTTCAAAGAACACAATAAAGTAGCTGTCACAACTGCAAGAAAAATGACAGGTTGGATAACCAGAACCTTTCACACTAGAGATGCTATACTGATGATGATACTTTTCAAGATGCTAGTGGTCTCTAGAGTGGAGTACTGCTGCACAATGACAGCCCCTTTCAAAGCTGGAGAAATTGCTGACCTGGAGGTTATCTTGAGGTTATCTTGAGATGATTTCGGGGCCTTTTAGTGTCCCCGCGGCCCGGTCCTCGATTAGGCCTCCACCCCCAGGAAGCAGCCCGTGACAGCTGACTAACACCCAGGTACCTATTTTACTGCTAGGTAACAGGGGCATAGGGTGAAAGAAACTCTGCCCATTGTTTCTCGCCGGCGCCTGGGATCAAACCCAGGACCACAGGATCACAAGTCCAGCGTGCTGTCCGCTCGGCTCCCTGGTCGTAAAGAGAGAGCGTAAAGAGATCCTTTACTGCTAGAATCCACTCAGTAAAACATCTAAACGACTGGGACCAACTATAGAGCCTAAATCTGTATTCTCTTGAGTGCAGGCGGGAGAGATACATAATAATCTATATATGGAAAATATTAGAGGGGCTGGTCCCAAACCTGCACACAGAAATAACACCACATGAGACCAGGAGGCATGGCAAGATGTGCAGAATACCCCCGTTGAACAGCAGAGGTGCAACAGGTACTGTGAGAGAGAACTCTTGCAACTTCAGAGGCCCGAGACTGTTCAACACGCTTCAACTACACTTAAGGGGCATAACTGGCAAACCCCTCACAGTGTTCAAGAGAGAACTGGATAAGCACCTCCAAAGGATACCTGATCAACCAGGCTGTGATTCATATGTCAGGCTGCGAGCAGCCGCGTCAAACAGCCTGGTTGACCAGTCCAGCAACGAGGAGGCCTGGTCGATGACCGGGCTGCGGGGATGCTAAGCCCCAGAAAAACTCCAAGGTAAGATTCCTGATCCCCTCCCTCCCTTTCAGGTTGTCTTGGGTGAGGAAGGGGGAAAAGTTGGATACACCTGCCTAAAACTAAGGGTGAAGATGCCATCTGACCATAGGTTGCCTTTCCCTTTTCCCCCAAATGACTGGCAGAGGTGGTCTGTGCAAGTTTGCTGTAGTTCCAGAAGAATTTGATTGTTTTCACACAGTAGTTGTGGGAGTTCTTTTGGTGAACTTAGAGGCTGCATTCTCTATTTAAGCCAGCATTGGTTTGTTTTGACTTGCTGACTTTGTCTGATTGCCTTGCCTTTCCCAGTGGTGGCATACATAAATCAGTAAATGTCACCACTTCCTGCGCCTTTGTAAGGGAGGGCGGGGGGGCAGGTTCTGGTGCTGGTCCCCAGTAGGCATATAGAACTCCATGACTGATATGACCTAGTCGATGTTACTGTATCAGTATATGACAGCTTCAGGGAATGATTGGGGTTCACTCAGAAAATGGAATTTCATTATATGAAAGGCTTTTTTTTCTCAGCAATTACTATTTCCCTTGTTTGTCTCTGAGTTACTAATTCCTTCAAGCAGTTCCTTGCTTTCATGTGTTTTTGCTCTGGTGGATTTTTAGTAGAACTCTGATCCCCTAAGCTTCCCCCCCCCACCTTGTTGGGGCTCCCCACCCCCACCTTATAGGGGCTCCCCCACCTTGTAGGGGCTCCCCCCCACCTTGTAGGGTCTCCCCCCACCTTGTAGGGGGGCTCCTCCCCACCTTGTAGGGAGCCAGATTCTGGTCCAGGTACCCGGCAGGCTTGAGTGGGTCTCAGAGATCAGATGTGAGCACCTAAGGCTTTCAGCTCCAGTGCTAGAGAAACTACTGAGGGGAGGGGGTAGCCCCTCCTAGAAATAGCTAAAACATTCTGAACCATACTTATTGCATTTAATTAATTTATGACATTGTTTTCAAAACCAAGAAAATTATTGTTATTATTTAATGTCTGAATCTGTCCCAGATCACATAAAACCAGCATTGACTGTAATGAAATGCCATTTTCTGGGTGATGCCCGGTTGCTTCACAGAGCTTATCAGTCATGTGAATGGAGTTCTGTGGGCCTACCGTGGACCACGAGCCAGAACCCGGCCCCCTCAGAGAGGCATGGGGAGCAATGACCTATAGAAACCCCCGTGTGGTTGGAAGCATTCTATGTCTGCCATCGACTGGGTCAGGCACCCAGAAAGGAAAGCATCCCAAAACAAACCCATATTCTGATGAAAATTGCTACCAAAAGCCGAATGAGTGGATTGAACTCATCAAAAAGAAACAAGCAAACAAGCATATCATCGCATGACGTCACATGTCGTCAACACCCGAGAGAACAAGGACGCGGAACACCAGCACTTTTGTACACCATCCACAACAAAACAAACTCTCATGGCACATGCGCAGGACACATGTGGTCCGAATCGCACAACCCCGCCCAGCGGGGAGGGGGCCAACAAGGAGTATTGCAAAATATTAGCAGTGCCTAGACAGAGCACGGAGAGAAGATATAATGACAAAAGAACGAGACAGTATCGAAAACCAAGAAGCACGGAAGAGGACCAACAAGTCCAAAAAGGCCCGGAGGTAAGTCTCACTGGAAGACGACAGAAGTTCCAATAATGCGGGAAGAATCGAAGGCCTTCCCGAACCCCCGAGATCTCACAGAAGCAAACAATATCGCAAAGGCTCAAAGTCACAGTCGCACCTGAGACCAAAAGTCATGCAGAAACCCCCATAATAGGGGAACATGACCCCTCCATGATGGAGAAGTCCCACCCCCAGAGAAAAGGAGGTAGAAATGGAGAAAAGTACCCACCGATAGGATGGAACCGAATGGACCCAAAGAGACAAGGATCCGAACCCATGGAGGGCCCGACGCCCAACAACTCATATGCAGAGAGGGGAGGGAAAACCTTACTCCCCGTAACCGAAAGCTCCGCACTGAGGATAGAAAACCCCGGCGGGGTCCAATGGGGCCCGAGGCCCCCCCAAGTCAGCTCCTCCCCAACCCCAGGAACCTCCTCGGCAGGTCCCAGGGCCGAACCATCCCCCCAAAGCCCCAGCCTCGCAAAAAAAGGCCGGGGCAGCCGGAAAATTACTAAGGAAGGGAGCCCACTGGCAGACTCATACAACCCGGCTGGAGGAACAGGCTCGAATGCCTCCGTCGCTACCCCGGAAGGGAAAACCACTGAGACCGCCAGAGTCTCAAGACCATCGGATCCTTGCCCCGACCCCGAACCCACAGACGGAAAGGATCCGGATGCATGGAGGAATTGGGGGGGGGGGGACCAGACTAAACCACAACAGGGGAAAGACAAGGGGACGAGGAAGGAACAAAACCGAAGCAACCAACACCCCGAAGCCCCGTCACAACAACCAAAATGGGGCAGCCTTGGAGTTTCCAGGGCGCAAAACAACCAAATGCATTGCAACCACCTGAACCCAACGTACAACGCCCGTGCTGCCTGCACCCGCATAGTCAGTATAAGACCAGGTAACCGAGTCACAAACAAACAACAAAACTCGCAGGACTCCGGGTCGAAGGTGCCACCGACCCTACAGGCAGCAGACGGAGGCAAAAACAATGAGTCACCCTGAGACAAGGGAACAGAGCAACCCTCGAACTCGCACAAAGCGAGGGGGAGACTCAGGGGTCACATCCATTGGACCCATGCGCCCCCATGGGGATTCCCAGGGTCCTGAGACGGAACTCACGCTCAGGGAAGCCCAGGCAGGGTACTGCTAACCGGCGGCCAAGTCTACCAAACAACCTTCTAAAAACTGAACCCCTGGGACGTGAACTCTCACGTGGACGTAGCAGGGGGCACCACCAGAAGAAAACCTTATTTGGTCAGATACCAAGGGGCAAGCAAGGCAGACCCCCCCCCCCCCACAAGGCACAAACAAAAAGAAAAACAAAACCCTGCAAGAGGACAACGTACCTAAAGGAACAGCCAGCTGCTAAGAATGGTGAAAACAAGCTGCGCAGCACCTTGGCCCCGTACCAGTGCAAACTGCCTCTTACCCTAAGGTAAACAAGGGAGACAAAACACCCAAAGGGTGGCTGAAAACCGAACAGTGAAACAGCCCAGCAGAGGCAGTGTAATGACCGCTTTAACCTGTCGTAATAACCACGGCCTCTATTGTAATAACCCAATGTTCCCCAGTATTAATCCTGTTATCTTGTTATCTCTCGTGATCATAATATACGCTCTCTGTTGTACATCTCTGTCTCTCTTCACTCAATACCCCAGCTTAACACTGTTACAGTCCAGTATGACCCCTCACTGGACTGCCCGTATGTAAGAGGAATATTAAATGAGGAAGATACACCAAGGACAAGGGTTATTAGTTAAAACAATAACAAAACACATTTGCACTGCCACCACCTTCCCGACCAACCATACCTGAATGTGTCTTATCACGGATCCCCCAGGAAGGCAAGGAATCAGCAACCATGGGACTCCCAGGGTAGTATGAATTTCAGTAATAAATTTTGGAAAATTAGTTTGTGTAATTTACGTTACTAATTTAAATCCAAGGGCAACTTTAGTATCGATTAATTGTAGGAGAACCTGGGGGCTTCCAATACAATACCTAAAAATGGCAAAGTAACAAAAAATCAAAGGGGAGTTAAGTGAAGACCACTGGACAAGCTATACAATTTATTTTATGAAACATGTAAATGAAGACAATTTGAACACATAACCTATTCTATTTCCCTAGAGGCACAATGGATATTTATTGAGGGCACGAAACTAAAGTGCTACTATACCTTAAATACCCGCACCACGGCCAAGATGTTGATGGCTGCCCTCAGCCCCGAGGATACGGGCTTGCGGCCCTGTTCCTAATACACTCCCAAGACACACTAATGAAATTTTGTTTTTCCAACTCATTGCTGGGAAGGATTACTCCTCCCACCATCTAATACAGCCCCAGGGCTCCACCCATTATTTTGGCAATGGCCAACCATTTAACACGTACGCCTGAGGTCTGGCTCTCTAGGGCCAATAAGGACTTGGCCCTTATCTCAGGCCAATCACCTTCACTGATGGGGCCCCACCTCTATGGGGCCCCAGGCACCTGCGAGCAATGTTTACAAAACTGATAAATTATGTTCAAGCCTGTCTCCTCTAAGATAGGAGTAGGGACATTTGACTCTGCCTCGTATGGGGAAGACCGCTGCTGAGAGGGAAAGAGAGGGAATGAGAGGGAAAGAGAGGGAAGTTGAGTGGGAGAAGCCAAGGTATCCAAGACCACCCTACCCTCAGGTCAACCTCTTGACCCTGACAAATGGGCGACAGGGGGGGGGGGAAGAGGAGGAGACGAATGACGGCCAAGGGGAGGGGAGAAGGAAGGAGGGGAGAGGGAGAAGGAAAGGAGGGGAGAAGGAAAGGAGGGGAGAAGGAGAAGGAAAGGAGGGGAGAAGGAGAAGGAAAGGAGGGGAGAAGGGAGAACTAATGAGCTGAGCCCCAGATCATTACAGCAGGACCCAAGGAACTTGTGGAAGGTAGCCCCAAGCCCCAAGGGCAGTATTTACGGGGCACCTAGGGAAGGTAACCTAGGCGCATGCAGCTCGAGTACTGTAGAATAACTCCTGGCTCTCGCACCCCTGGAAGACAGCTACCACACTCTAAGCACAGTGCTGAAAAATCACTGGAGCCAGAGCACACGACCTCTGCCTCTAGCATCAGCCTTAGAACTGAAGGGTGGATAGCTGGAGCGAGGGTCTGGGACTCCCCCTTCACCCTCCCGGGGAGGAGGGAGCTGCGCAGACAGCGGCGCGGCGACGTGTGACGTCATGCGACATCATGCTCGTTTGCTTGTTTCTTTTTGGTCCACTTGTTCGGCTTTTGGTAGCAATTTTTACCAGGATAGGGTTTTGTTTTGGGACGCTTACCTTTCTGGGTGCCTGACCCAGTCGAAGGCAGACAGAGAATGCTTCCAACCACACGGGGGTTTCTATAGGCCATTGCTCCCCATGCTTCTCTGAAGGGGCCAGGTTCTGGTTCGTGGTCTCTGGTAGGCCCACAGAACTCCATATACATGACTGATGCCAAAGTCTGACATTAGCATATCAGCCTGGATAAGCTCTGGGAGTCGAAGGGACTTCCCCGAGAAAAATAATTTTCCCAACTACTATTTATTTTTCCTTGGGTAAATAACATATGTTTTGAAAAGACCTGCTATTTAAAAGTCCTAGAAAATCATCAACACAACATTTCCCATACCTATAAATTTCATCTCCAGGAGGATGTTTCCATACACACTTAGCAGAATGTCTCTGCAATATAGTTCTTGATCTCATGTATTTAAGACAAAACTCGCAGATATATATTTTTGGTTGCTGGTTGTAGTCATCTGGATACTGAGACTGGTACCATGCCTCCATCTTATAACGACCCATCTCAATGTAACGGATTCCTTTACTATCTGGAAGGCCTCTAAGGTCATCTTCCTGTTCAGAAAAAGAAACAATTATTTAACTGATGGATTAATTTAATTTAGAGGTTAAATGGAAAACCAAGCACTGAATGTAATGAAAAACCTCTTTCTGGTTAGCCCTAGGGCTCCCTATAGCTAGCAGCATTGAGATAACTCCATACCTATGACTCACATTACCCCCAGAAATTCTTAAGAGCCTACAGGAGACCAGAGCTAACATCTGGTTAACTCAAAGAGGCACAGGGAGCAGGGAATTGTTTTGATCACCCTCACCAAAGAAACATTCAGAAAGCAAAGTAAAACAGACACTGCAAGGTTCACAGAGAAACTAGAAATGAAGAACCAAATGGTTCTGTAAACAATTCTGCAGATGATGCAACCATGTCAACACCAGTCAGTTCGAAGCCCAAGACCACCAACCGACTCACTTGGAATAGGGGACGTGGGTAGGAACCAGGGAGCCACGGAAGCCGAACCAGAAAGAAGAGTTTGATTACATTCAATGCTAGTTTTCTGGAGGGGATGAATGGTGGCTGCCTGCAGCTAAAGAGCTACAGAGAAAAAGGGAAACCAGAATTGAATATAATGAAACACCAGTTTCTGAGTGAGCCCTGGTGTCTTTCTGGAGTTACTATCACTGATAGTGCACCAACTACTAGATCACATCAGCCATAAAGTCCTATAAGCCTACTGGGGACCAGTACCAGAAACTGGCCCTCTCACAGAGGTGCAGGGTGCAGTGAGATTTATGTATTTATTTATGCCACCACCATGGTAGGCACCCGGAAAGTCAGCAAGACATCAGACCACTGCTGGTTACAAACAAGACAGCAGCCTTGAGAACTACTGAAAGAAATCCCCCAACAATTTAAAAAATTAAAATATCTTGATACTAGTGCATGCTTGTTTGCCCCATCTTCCCCACCATGTTTGGGGGGGAAGATGGAGGCAGTTTCCTATTAGCCAGCTACTTAACTCCTCAGTTCTATGACACATGGTTTGTCATAGAACTGACGAGTTCTATGACAGACAACCAAGAGGGAGGGAGGGTGTCAGGATGCAGCTGGGGCTCACCCAGAAGTTGATTTTTCATTACATTCGACGCTTGTTTCTGGGGGAAGCCCACTGTGGCTTTTTGAAGCTAACTACCCACAAAGAAGGAAAAACAAATGGGTAATCACCAAGGAGAAGGAAGTCTTGCAGGAACTAAGACAAGGAAGAGACTCCTGGCTGAGAGACATGACCCAAGGCTAAACAAGGACACCAGGGCCCAGGCACATTGACAAGATACCGGATCGTGAGAATCCTGTCCGACCTCCAAAACACCCACGCCTGGAAATTTGCCCAGGACATACAGTATTCGCAAACACAACAGTGAGAAGAGCAAATTTCTGAGCATTATGGGCACGAGGGTAGACTGGAGGCTAGCTAGACTTAATAACACTGCAAACAACCTGAGAAAGACAAGCCTTGGTACACGGGACCAAAGTGAGAGGATCAACCCACACAGCATCTGCTGAGGCAGAAATTAAGGAGTTAGCTCCAGACAAACAGACTGCCCACCAGGACTAACAGAACAAAACCCCCATCAAAGGAGACCATGAAACTCACCCACATGACAACCAGAATCAAGAGAAACCAAAAACAAAGACGTGAAGAAACAATCATGGACTGAAGATGACACAGTAAACCAAGCCGAAGAAAGAAACAAGAAAACACTTTCTAAAGACCAAGTAGGCACAGTTGATGCGTGAGCAGACTGGAGATGAAACATTGCACAAGACAGCTTGTGAAATGGAGCCAAGGTAGTATCAACCTTGAATGCAAATTGCATGTTGGAAATTTCCAACACTAAATACAACACTGTTGTATTCTCATTAATTACTACTAATTCTACTAATCATTGTAGTGATTAAAATTAACCCAACGTAGAGTTCACATGTACTAATAATTACATCTGTACAGTAAGGCTAGAATTCTTACGTCACCCGACGCCAGTATTGCGTCAGATTCCATTGTAATAAACACATTTATATCCAATGTGCCTGAGAATTGAATTTGATTCTCCATAAACAACGGTGTTCTGTGTGATAATTAATTACAGATAAACTGATCTCCAACTAAAGCCAAATAGAGCGTTTATAGTTATAGCTGTTATCTAGTAATAAAATTAACGTCACGCGTGAATGCCCTGGAGAGATTATAATTCTTCTCCATTGTTCGTTTACTATCATAAAACGGACAAATAATAATATTTAACTCCTCCAAATAATAAACCCGTCCTAATCCGAGCATTTCAAGCACAACTGCAAGAAATGACAATATCCATAATAAATAATTTGGTTAATAAACGCGGGACGCGGAGCGGGGCGGAAGAGACGCCAGTCCACGTGTTGAAACGCTCACGAGTAGACGTGTTCACGTGGTGCTCACGAGGAGACACCATTACCCAGCCACCAGGGTAAACGCTATCAAATCTCCAGAAGAAAGTCGCCACTGTGAGGTGTGAAGAACCTTGCAGACAATACCTTCACTTGGTGTCAGTGTCATTTACGGAACCTGTTAAATTTGGTTCTATGTAACTCCATGTGACCGGCCAGTGGAGCGCGTCAGTATCTAGGATAGACAAGTCTAGAGCCTAGGACACGACCTTCGGCAAGCCTTAACTTACACAGTGCCCATATTAGCTAAGTACCTTATCCTTGTTTGATGCATCAGATCGGGGGCGGGTTTATAGCTGGGTAGCTTGTCGTGACGACGTATAACAACTAAAAATCACAGGTCACTATCTTTCTCTTATTATTAATATCCATTTATTGAACATAGAAATCCAGTAGTTTAATCTGTTGCTACTGGAAACAATTGTTTTGCAGCGTGTGTGAAGAATTCTCCGAGCTGTCATTTCCCATGTTAATCAACTCCCAGTGTTCCATGACGAGTCCAGGAGAATCAGAGGAAGCGTCGTGACTAACTTCTAAGGAATCGTCATTAAGCTAAGATTCCTTTTGTATTCCTCGAATTTATTATCTGTACTCTTTTACATGCAGAACTCTGTTCATTGGATTAACATGTGTTTATTATAATTATTATTATACATATTCGCAATCTATGTTCCCCTTAACACTTTCGCTCGGGGATGACGCAGCATTGCGTCATCCGTTTACTGGCGGTAATGCCGGGGATGACGCAGCATTGCGTCATCCACTTTAAAAATTCGCCAAAAATCAGGTTTTTATCCGATTTTTTGGGGACTGGTTTTAAAATGCGCGCCGATGTCTTCCCATTTTCTTTGTTGCGCCTAGTGGCCCGCAGGCGGCGCAGCACACGCCGTCGGCCCATTGTTTTCGCTCCACTGCTGTGACCGGTGTCGCCTCCCCTCGCGTCTCAAACGTGTGAACATTTCGGCTATTTTCCGTGGCTATATTTCTTACTGCGGCTTCAGAAACTATCTACGCTTACTCCACGATGGATAGTGATCATGAACAAGGCCCTTCCAGGAAGAAAATTGCGAAAGAAAGGCATGAAAAGCAGAAGCTGAGTAGTGTACAGGAGAAGTACAAGCATGTGAGACTAACTCCCACCATCCACTCCACCTATACAAAACATGGGTTGACCCTGCAGGAAACGTTTTCCAGGAGCAGGTGGAGTGGATAAAACAAATGTTCAACACACAACACTGAGGTGGTAAGTGCAAATTTTTTTATTATTTATTTATTTATTTTTGTTTGTTCATACTTTCCCGTATTGTACAGGCAATGTTGTTCTTCAATTGGCTCTTATATGCACATATCCATCTGAAGAATTCTATTAGGAACATTTTCATACCTAAATGAGCGCTGTAACACGAAAATTGAGATTACCACCAGGAAATAATACTAAACATATGTGGCCGGGAATTGGGAGTGTAGCGGGAAGGTGTCTGAGCGCTCACTCACGGCTAACGCGTGGCCCGTCTTCAACTCGTCGGCGGTTGGAGCGTGACCAGGTTTTTTTATTTTATATGCTAATATTCCTCTAGAGAATTCTATTACGAACCCATTGAGACCAAAATGAAAGACCTAGGACGAAAATTGAGGTGACCAGTGAAAATAGTGAAAACATTTTATCGCGTTTGCGCGCTCCCGGGTAACTCGTTCGCACTTTCTCTGCTTGCTGCGGGTAATTAGCCGGGCTTTTGGAGTTTATATGCATTTAGTGCTGTAGAGAATTTTATTGCGAACACAATGATACCAAATTTAATCTCGTAGAACGAAAATTGAGGTGACAAAGTTGAAGAGAGTATACACTTTTCGGAATTGACGCGCGCTTCCGTGACACGCTGGGGCCCATATCGCCCTGTCGAGGGGTGGCACGCGGGGTGCGCGAAAGTGTTAATGATAACGATAATGATTTCATAAGTATTCATAGGATTAGATTATTATACATTGGATTAGTGAACGAACCACACAAGTTCCTGGACGTACTGAGTTCCAGTAATACCCCCCCCATTGTAGGTGTTTGAGGCTTTGATTCATTTAATTATACAGCCCATTAATTATTTCAATGATCATATTCTCTAGTATTTTATCCATAGTTACTGGTTCATCTAGAATTTTCCAATGATCATATTTTCTCAGTTTCCCTCTTTTACTATAAAAGTGGGTGGTCCTTCGTAATTGAATTTACTATATTAATATTTAAATAATTAGAGTCAAGCCCCAAATGTCCCACATTGCAGCAGCTCTGCCAGCACCACATGATACTAAGCCACAGAAGAGCACAGGTGACTGGGAACATTCACAAGATACCTGGCTGCCAGAACCCTGTTCAATTATGAAAAACTCCTGCGTGGGGTCTTTGCAAATATGCCCAGGACATATTAGCAAATACAACCGACAGAGCAGTATACTTAGAACACCATGGCACGAGGGTAGACTGCAGGCTGGCTTGACTTGATGACAATGCACACCTGAGAAACATGAGCCCTAGAACAAGGATCCAGGGAAACCAGATCAACCCACAACAAGTCCACAGAAGCGGAAGTGGTGGCACAAAGGTAGCAGTGAAGAGCTGCCACTGGAGAAAGAACATGATGCACACCCCTGGCCAAACCAACTAAGCATCAATCACCAACAGACATCTCTGGAAGCCAACCAACTCATTCTTCGCCAGAAATGAGGGAGCCGGCTGCAGATGAACGAAACTATTCCCCCGGCCACAGGAACAAAAACCCCCAGTCCCAATGGAGACCATGAAGCTCACCCACCTGACAACTGGAGGCGAGGGAGACCAAAAACAAAGCCTTAAGGTGGCACATCAGCAGCCCAGAGATGAAACAGCACCAAATAAACCTTACAATCATGGGGGCCGAGGAAGTATCAGCCCTGAATGCATATATTGTGTGTTCATCTCTCAAGGAAGTCACAAGGGTATGTTACTGATAAGCTAATCACCACCATTAAGTACTATAAATGCCTAATGTGAGGTCACTAAGAAACCACTTTAATACCAACTTGATTGTTTATATTCTCACTTTTGATGTTTAGGGAGGAGTATAAGTTAATTACAAAAAGAATTACAAATTATTTGCAGCAATCTTAATCTGCACCATTACTGTGTAAACCACATTAGTTTTAGTGCCAGTCTGAAAAAGTAGGATTTCTACAGTACAGTAATTAAATTTGTACTTGAGGCTAGGTGCTCTACTCAATATTGTATTACCTAGTAAATTTGATACTATTCCTTGTATATTAGGGTTATAATATACTTATATTATTATATTCCTTGACCATTAGGGTGGGACATATAACATTTAGCATGAATTGTGCTGAGTACTACATAGCAGTGATTTATATATAATCTTTACTTTAAATTTTGTAATTACTGCTATTAACTATTTTAGTTATGTTACATTTATGTTACACTTTTGAATGGTAAGGTATGCAACTTTACCATAGCTAAGATGAGGTAGCAGTTATGCTGATTACCACTCAAAATAATACACACACAACCGTAATTTTGACCTTTAGTACAAATAGTACAAATCAGGCAAAATGGTGTTTACAAACACTGTACTACAGGTCACTTGTGAGTCACAAGTCATGTGACCCGGCAACTCCAGATGTGCGAGCAACTTGCTCAGAGTTCATATGTGACTCCCAAACTATTTGAAAACCACATACAGAGCACAAAAGAAATTAAAACATGCATCAGAAACTGTTGATAAATATATTTCAAGCCTCATTGATGAGAAAGTCAATGCAGACGGATTAGGCAACTTTCTCACCAAAATGGAAAGATGTGAGGAGAGGTCGAAGATCATTTGGACAAATTTATACAAATTTTAAAACAATTCAATACTACAATACTACAAAGTACTCTGTCCAGAGCCACTTCACTAGCTACAACCCATTAGAAGCTAAGTTACCTACCATTTTGAACCACCATTTTCAGTTACTACCTTTTGAAGGTCAGGATGATGAAAACTGGGATAACTTTAGGAGGTCCTTTGACATAATGGTAAATTCAAAGGATTCAATCTCCAAAGTTATTGAATTCATCTATTTATAAGGTGTATTAGAAGGTGAAGAGAAAATGGACATCTCTAATTTAGATCTCACTCAAGATAACTATGATGCTGCCATTCAACTGTTACAAACTAATTATTGTAATAAGGAATCTTCATTACAAACTTAGAGATCTATCAACTGTAGGCAATACAGCTGATGCACTGCAAAGCTTCAGACTGCAGGTAGAATTCCTGATTAGCCCCTTTACTGCACATAGAGCCTTAAGGTACTCGACTGGTGGTGTACATAGTGCCTTAAGGCATTTATAGGTGTATGGAATGATTCAAAACTCCTGCAGGTACACCTGGCTCACATTCTATGCCTCAGGACTCCAGTAAAACATACTAAATTAACCTTAACTATCACTGTTAACATGTTTCAAGTCATTATATATATTTGACAAATCAAGATAGTTTCCTCCTGTATAAATTATATGAATTCAAATTACATTTTCTAATATATCCAGCAAGGTTGTATTGTTTATTTCATGATATACAGTAATTCATAATACTGTACTACAAAATTTGGTGTTTTAACCAACTATTCCTTTTAAAATACTATTAAACGAAGACACCAATTACTTACAATTTTTTCACTTGCAGCAGACTGAGCCTCCATAAATAGATGAAGATCCCACTCAGGAGTGTATCCACGAAGGGCCGGCTGTCGATCTCTGTCAGCCATTTCTTCTTCACCAGGGCGAGGTTCACTTAGCTTATCTCTAGAGTCTCTAATCTGTGGAAGGTAGTTAGTTATAACATAACAACCCAATGTTGAATGAAAAGAAATACTTTTTTCTGGTGCCTGGTGACTTCCTGAAGCTATCTCATTGAGACTGCTCCATTGAATGGGTCACATCAGTCACAAGCTTTCTATTTGATCTGCTAGGACCAAAGCCAGAACTTGGCCCCACTCAAGAGGCACAGAAAGTGAGTGACAATTCGTCACCCCACCGGGAAAGCATCCAGAAAATCAGTGAAACTTTACAGACAACTGAAGGGTTCACAGAAAATGAAGCCTCAAAGCTGCCAAACAACTCCCCACAAATGATTCAAATAAAATAAGTGGCAGCCACCAGGCACAGCAAGTAAGGCTTCCCTAGCTGGACCAACCAATCATCACTAAAAGACCCTTCTAAAAGCCCGACAACTCATTCTTTGCCAGAAAAGAAAGATACAAATAAACAAAACATAAGCCATGGCCAAAGGAGTAAAATTCCTGCCACCGGAGCTCCCCTACACAGCAGCAGGAGACAATAGCCAGCAAAAATACTGCCTAAAGAAGGATATTATGAGTCGATGGGGGAACCAAGAACCCAGATGAGGAGAGAAAGACCAAAACCGTCAAGAGACTAGGATGGCCCAGGAGGAGTACGAGCAGGCCGGTGGTGAAAAACACACACAAGACAACCAGAGGAATGGTGCTGAAGAAGTCGGGCCTGTGTCGCCTTGGGTTGGAGATTGTAGCCAGTTGTCTCGCTTTCCGTTGAGGGGTGCGTGGTGTTCGCCTCCTGAATCTGTCCCTTTGACCTCCTCTGTGGGTAGTTAGCTCCGGGGAGCCGACGGGGCATCCCCCAGAAAACTAGTGTTGAATGTAATGAAACACCATTTTCTGGGTGAGACCCTGAGGCGCCCCGGCAACCCTCCCTCCCTCTGGTCGGCGGTTTTTCACGTGTTTTGACATCCAGCCTCAGAACTGATGGGTGGATAGCCGACATGAGAGGTCTGGGGCTTCCCCTTTCCCCTCCCGGGGAGGTGGGAGCTGCGCAGACAGAGGAGTGGTGACGTGTGACGTCATACTTGTTTGCTTGTGTTCTGTTGGGGAGTTCTATCCACTAGTTTGGCTTTTGGTAGTAATTTTTACTAGAATAGGGGATTGTTTTGGGATGCTTACCTTTCTGGATGTTTGTCCCGGTCGATGGCAGACATAGAATGCTTCCAACCACATGGTGGTTTCTATAGGCCATTGCTCCCCTTGCCTCTCTGAGGGGGGCCAGGTTCTGGCCATGGTCCCCGGTAGGCCCTAAGAACTCCATACACATGACTGATGCCAAAGTCTGACATTAGCATATCAGCCTTGTATAACTCCGGGGAGCCGATGTGGCTCCCCCCAGAAAAGTATTTATAATCTTTCCAGTGTTCTGACATCAATTTTTGTGTGAACATCTTTCATTTTGGTATCACATCGTGCGCAATCTAAAGGCGCTCATGTTGAAACCGCCCCGAAGTTGATCAGATAAAAACTGAATTTTTTACAAATACTTTAAATATTGAACGCACACAGGCGTTACACACTTGGACTCGGGAGAAAATTGTGGACTCCCGGGGCTGTTCAAAGAGTGCTATAGTGTTAAATTAATTAAGATTCTGCATTTTCTTACATCAAAATTTTAAAAATAGTGACATTGTTTCAATGTTTACTAAGAGAAACATGTCTAAGGACCCCTTGAGGTAATCACAAGGGATTGTTCCTATGCAAATTACACTGAAGATTAGTGGAGGCAATTGCATCAGCTGAAATGTTAATATTATAAAGTTTTCCATTAAGCAGGCATTTAAAATTATCCAGGTCAGCAACAGTGGCCTTCTCCCAATTTAACACTTCTGCCCGGCGAGGACTCAGCATTGAGTCCCCCGCAAAACAGGGGCAAGTCCGGCGAGGACTCAGCATTGAGTCCTAAGCGTGGCAACAGTAGCGTTTTTTTGGGAAGGTTTTGCTGCGGTTTTGCACATTATATGCATATACGCTTGTAGGGAATTTCATTGCGAATACATTGATACCAAAATTAAAGTCCTAGGACCAGAATTGAGGTAACAAAGTTGAAAACAGAATACCCATTTTATTGGCACTCACTGGGATTATGACGTCACTTTCTCTGTTTACTGTGGGTGCTACACCGGGCTTTTGGACTTTATATTTGCATACTCCTGTAGGGAATTCTATTGCGAAGACAATGATACCAAAATGAAAGACTTAAGACGAGAATTGAGATGTCCAAAGTGAAGAGTGTACACATTTTATTGCTCTGGCTCGCTCCCGGGTAACACGCTCTCACTTTCTCACTTTCTCGCCAGGCTTTTGGCCTTTATATGCATTTAGTCCTGTAGAGAATTCTATTGCGAACACATTGATACCAAATTGAAAAACCTAGGACGAGAATTGAGATGACAAAGTTGAAAAGAATATTCACTTTTCATATTGAGAAGCGCCTTGGGGTGGTGCAGCGCTCTCTTTCTTGTAACCGCGGCCTGTTTTCATCATGTCGGCGGGTGGAGATCGCTGCTGTTTTTTATATTATATGCATATAGGCCTGTTGGGAATTTTATTGCAAATACATTGATACCAAAATGAAAGACCTAGGACGATAATTGAGGTGACTTGAGTGAAAAGACTGAAAACATTTTATCCCTCTTGAGCGCTCGCGGGTCACTCGCTCGCACTTTCTCTGTTTGCTGTGGGTGGTAAGCCGGGCTTATGGAGCTTATATGCATTTCATCCGCTAGATAATTCTATTGCGAACACATAGATACCAAATTGAATATCGTAGGACGAAAATTAAGGTGACAAAGTTGAAGAGAGTATACACTTTTCTGACTTTACGTGCACTCTCGTGAAACGCTCAGGCCACTTTGGGATAGTGGAGAGGTCACGCGCCCGGTTTGCGAAAGTGTTAAATAAGTTCCTGAGAGGTTTCTGTTCTCATGGCAGCAGTAACTTGCAGGTGAAATATATTGAAGGCACCTATGACAGGTAGACTGCTGGACAGGTTGTCACCATCATTGATAGTCATATATCCAAAGATGTGACCAGTTAGATTATCATCAATGAGAAAGTAATCAATGTGAGACTTTCCTCTTCCATCCCATGACAGAATACTAAAGTTAACGTTAAATTCATCATTGAAACAGAATTATGTCAATTTTCTGCGTCTATGAACACATTAAGAAAATTTAATAAATGCATCTTGTCGAGAAAAATCGGTGTTGAAGTCACCTACCACCATGAGGTTAGCATCATTATATGAATTGACTAACTGAGATATTTCAGCTAGCTCATCTCTATATGCATCTGGACAGCTGCTGTTGCTGGTGAAGCAAGGAATATACATACATATAACCCAATACTGCACAGCACCATTAAGGGACACATACAGCAGCAGTGCACCCTGATATGGTATTGATAACATCAACTTTACATTGCATTATTATGCCACAGGATAGCAGTGCCAACATAGGGTCTTCCCAGCCCTGACCAGTCATCAGACATTTCAGTACTGGCAGTGTCAGAAACCAATGTTGAATGCAATGGAACGCCAATATTTGGGTGAGCCACGTTGACTCCCTTTAGCTACTACTTCAGATAGTGCCATACTACTAGGTGTCATCAGTCGTAGAGTTATATGGCCTACAGGAACCAAGAGCTAGAACCTGGCCCCCCCTCACAAGAGGCAAAGGGAGCAGTGGCATTTATATATTAAGTTTTTTATTTATGCTATCATCGAGGAAGGCAACCAGAAAGTCAGAAAAACAAAATGATCAAGGGGCAAGGAATAGACTGGTTCAGCCGCAAAAAGTCGAGGATGAGCTGGAGGTGCAGCGAATCCCATATCAGATCGAGAAAAGGCGGGAAACCCACCAAAGAGATGCAGTCGTTTCAACCACTCAGAAAGTCACCCAATCCGAGATGACTTGATGGATGTGAGGAGAGGAGCCCTGCACAAAAAGACCCGAACCCCCAGAAGAGGGAAGGGCAGACCAACCCAACTGTAGGCTGTGGGAAATTACCCAAAAGGCCCATGAACCAGTGGGATGAGGAGTTGGCAAACAGGGAAAGCCCCCCTTCTTCCCAATGCCCCATAAAAGGGGGAGAACTGCGAAAGGGCTGGTGCGACCCATGGCCAGCCAATACTTTTCAAGCAAAGTAAGCATGGTGCCAACCCAACAGAGCCGGACCAGCTTGGGGAAGCACTTGTGACCCAGCATATGGCTCCACAGATGACCTACCTCAACACACAGCAAGCAATGCCCTAGGCCTACCTAGGGGCATCTCGTTCCTCTAGATGTCCAGAAACGAGAGCGAGAACCCCTGAGAACAGAGACGGTCTTCTACAATGTTCTCCATTTTGATATTGCTAAGTCATGGTTTTCCTATATTCCCATGGTAGGAGGTAGACACCAACAGGCCAAAAACTCTCACAGAGTACATCACATCTAGAAACTAGCATAAACTGAAAGTAAAATTCAGGATGTGAAATATTTACAAAATTTATTACCCAGATTATTTTGTTTACACTTTTTTTTTTTAAGAAATTCTTAACTGGCAATGAAGGAGTAATACTTACTTTATTACAATAATTTCTTTGTTCAACATTTGGGCCATTACGAGGAGATTTATTTCCAACAAGAAGTTTTGCCTTCTCTCTTTCTACATTATCCAATTCTCGATTCTGACGGTTATTCTGGAACAGAATACAAGTCAGATGAATATCATTTATTCAGTATTTTATGTCAAAATCCCAACTCAATAAAATATAAAAAAAAACAGTGTTAAATGTAATGAAATGCCTGTTTCTGGGTGAGCTGCGGAGGCTCCCCGAAGCTATCACACTGATTATGTGCCATACTACTAAGAAAAGAAGCTGATAAGAAGTGATAGTATTTGGCATAAGATGCCGGTCCAGGTAAAACCAAGAGAGAAAGGATAAGACACCTTAACAGACACAGACAAAAACCCACAAAGGGAAAGGAAATGGTGGAAAGACCGCCAAGGAATTTCATACTGTTGCTGAGACGAAGACCGTGTCAGAAAAACCAGACGTGAAGAGCGGAAGAGTAAATCGAACCAGTGAGGTACCAAACGGGCTCGACTTGCTGAAAGTCGGGGCCGCAAAAAACTCTCGGGTTCAGACACCAAGCAAGCAGTGTCAGAACCCAAGGCTGGGGCGGCAACCATAGGGCCAGGAGAATTCCCCTTCCCTGATAGAATTTGAGCCGAGCCAGAATCCAGAGCAACAGCCGAACTGGGGGGAAAGAGGTACAGGAACCCCCACCACTACCAGTCCTGCCAAAAAGTGTCCACTGCGAGGCCTTGCAGTTGAGGAGCGGTGCCATGTATAATGGGAGACGCCGAGACCACACCGATGCATAGAGGTCCATCTCTGGGCGCCCATACGTTCGACAAAGCCAAAGAAAAAGGCAGCGTCGACTGTCCACTTCATGGAATGAAGCGCGACAGGCCATCTGAAAAGATGTCGGACACTCCCTGAACGTGAACGACACAGAGTTAAACCCAGAGAACTCACTTAAAGCGACTAGCCCCAAAGAGCCACAGACCAAAGAGACCCCAACCCCGGTGGAGACAATGAACCACTGGTGTGCAGTCCTAATGGAGCCAGATCACCGCACCCCGAGGAAGCCGAATCCACCCTAGCGCCAGTCACACTGCCACAAACTCCCGCACCATGCTGTGGGCCCAACACAGAGACAGCAGCCAGGCTGTTGAGACTCCAGGCCAGATTGGTGAGCAATGATCACAAAGCCCCAGTCGACAGACAAGGCATCCGTGAACACATCGAGCGAGGAAAAAATTAGTCACCAAGGCACCAAACCCCAAAAACCTGAAGAGGAAGTCAGTGATGCAGCAACCGGGTCACCGGGGGTCGAACCCAGCGATCGCAAGAGCGGCGAAAAAGGCCATCCCGAAGAAACCAGAACAGCCTCTGAAGCCAAACCCCACCCAGCAGATAAACCAGCAGGGCAAATTTCAGGCTTTCGAACAGCAGCTTGAGCAACCACCGAGTGACCCCCCCCCCCCCAAAAAAAAAAAAAAACAGCCGAAGGCAGGACTGCAACCAGAGCAAAGCTGCCGGAGGAAGAGAAATGGATGCAGTCCAAGAGCCTCACACTAAGCTCAGCCAAGGCCATATCCGGGATGGAACCAGCTGGGACTTCTGCCAAGTTACCAGGAACCTGAGCCCGGCAAGCTCGAAAAGAACCAGAAACCCGGCTAGCAGACAAGCAGACCGGCAGGGAGCTCACACCTGCCAGTCGTCGAGGCAGGCTACCAGCCAGGAAGACACCGAAACCATGTAACACACCCAATCATTGTATGAGAAACCAGACTCAAACAAAACTGGAGCCAATAAAGACATAAACCAGGTCTTGCAGGATGTACACACCAAGGGTACTCTCGAAACTCCTCAGGGTGAAGCTGAGAAGAAGAAAAGACGAATCTGAGGAGCCCAAGGATACCAGGAAATGAACCGGAGGAAGCCCTACCTACCGCATTTGCTGGCGGATAAGACGCACAATGTGTATTAAAAATGCTTCGATTTTGGATAAAAGGAGCCCCACGTCGAAAACCGCTGTAATACAGACAGGATCCCGAGCACCATAAGCTAGGGAGGCGGACAAGCAGCCCAGGTATGGTCACTAGGCACAAAATCGGTGTCAATAATAAAACAAAGGAAAAAAGCCAATGACCACGGTCTGCAAACACAAGACCGAGGTAAGACAATACAGAAGTACCTCAATTTAGTACACAAGATAAGACTGCCCTGGGAGACATGACCACCACCCACAATTCCTCAGGGGAATGGACAGGGTAGAAAAAGAAGGTTGAGTCAATACGATTGGTACACACATAATGGGACACAGGTGGTAGCCGAGTACCCAAAGGAGCCACAGACATCAGAAAGAACATGTTCAGTGGCATAGTAATTACCTGTGTAATTACCTAAGTGTAGTTACAGGTTGAGAGCTACGCTCGTGGTGTCCCGTCTTCCCAGCACTCTTTGTCATATAATGCTTTGAAACTACTGACGGAATTAAGGAAGGAAAGGGAATTAAGTAAGGAAAGGGAATGCAGTTGGCAGTGAAGTGATGGAAGCTGACACCCTATATAAGATCAAATGTAGAGACGCAGGAGCTTGAGAAGCTCTGGAATGTGTACACCAAAAGAATGGTGGGTAAGAGGCAGACCCAAGAGCCGAAGCACAACCCCTGCAAGCACAACTAGAAGAATACAACAAAGTGAGTACAAACTTACCAAAACCACAGATGACACACCGGCAGTGATGAGGGAAGCACACACCAATTCACGTACATCCCGATCCATGTCACAACAAACAAAACCCACACCTAAGTTAACAGTGAAAACACTGGCGCATCAATGAAATGAAAAATGCCCAAAAAAGCAGGAAAGGAATGATAAACTTTCAACCACCCAGCCACCATATTCAAAGAGTGGATGACAACAAACCCGAGCTGTGGGATGGTGCGCCACGACCGGTGTACAGCCCTGGCGGCCAGTCGCGGCAACACAAAACATGACACTCAGAACCCAAGTGTCACAGTCTATATAGCAAACACTTGCCCAAAAATATAACCAACGAAACCACTGCTCAGAGTGGAGGTAAAAGCAGGGGTACCAAAAGTACTGTAAAACAACATGTTATATATGTATGACGAACCACATGAAAAAGTTGTGATATTAATTTGAATTTTGTTTCTTCTTTTGTTTCCGTACAAAACATCCAAGCAAAAGACGGATGCGTCTGACGTGAGAGTGCATAAACCACACTGGCAAATACGGTAATAGTAATACAGAAAGGGATGAAAACTCCTTCCCTGTATCAATGACACCTGCACAGAGGACACAAGGGCTCAAGTAGGGTCAAAAGGAGCCCAAAAACTCCAAGTGAACTCCCCTCAAGCCCCAGGAACTACCAAGAAAGGCCCTGGGGCAGAGCTCTCATCCACGGCCACCACCCCTAAATAAAAGGTGCAATCCAAGGAAAATGCTCCCAAGAAGGGAGTCTGCTAGGTTGACTCAGAAGCCCCAGCGGGAAAATCGAGCCAACTACCATTATGCCCGAATCAGAAGGTGAAGCCCCCAAAGCCACCTGAGCCTCATCCTGAACTAAACCCCCCTCTCGACTCCCAAACCCTCAGATGTTTGGGAGCTGGAAGCAAGGAGGGAGGAGCAGAGCAAACCACACCCACCTAGGAAGGAAGTGGGACACAGACAAAACCAAGGCTGAAACGACCAACACTTGAACACATTGAAGATCCTAGTCCCGAAAACCAAGGAACTATTTCTTTTGTTATTTTGAGGATGTAGCTTGCAATTTTCAACCAGACAGTAGTCTGTATTGATTTGCATATCCCCCCCCCCAACCCTCCTTTTGCCAGCTACTCAACAACTCCAGTTCTGAGGCCGAGCCTCAAAACCCACACAAAGAACCCACAACCAGAGGAAGGGATGGTTGCCAGGGAGCCTCCAGGGCTCACCCAGAAAATGGAGTTTCATCACATTCAACACTGGTTTCCTGTACTTACCTAGTTGGATAGCCCCTTTGGCTCCATGGCACTACATAACCAAAGATAAGGAAAAAGAGGGACTTACCCAGGAGGCGTCCGCCACAAACTCCTCAATGCGAAGTCGAGACAACTGGCTGCAACCTACAAGCCAAAGCAACACAGGAACGCTCAGGAGCAGGAACGTTGACCAAATAACGGGCGGCCAGGACCCAGTTTGACCTCAAAAATTCCTGCACCTGAATATCAGCCCAAGACATGTTTGCAAACACAGCAGCCAATGCAGCAAACATTCTAACATCATGGGCATGAGGATAAACGACAGGCTGGCTAGATTTAATAACCCTGTGGACAACCTGGGAGACCCGAGCCCCTGGAACAGGGAAGGCCGCAACCGGACACAACACGTGATGCATCCCTGGCCAGACCAACTAAGCATCAATGACCCCAAGGACTTCTCTGGAAAGCAGCCATCTTGTTCTTCGCCAGAAAAGAAGAAGGTTGCAACCGAACAAACCTACCATCAGGACCGAAAGAGCAGAAACCCCTGCGCCGACCAGATGATGCTGGTTCCGAAGGCAACGTCGGCTCAGAAGCTGGCACCAATGGCCCACCTCAACCAGTGGAACCCCAAGCCCTAGCACGACCCTTCTGAGAAGACAGAGAATGGCCACCCGGAGAATCAACATGTACGGCATATGATGACAACTAGATGAAGCTAACCTGCAGAAACTGTGTGACAGCAGCCTCTGCAAACTGCGACTGACAAAATGGCGACGAAAACGTAAGAGCCAGGGGCCAAGCGGATTTCAAAGAGAGGGCGAGCACAGCCTGACTGCATGCGAGGCGAGAAGTAGAGAACAGAGATACCACCTCCTTCAGAATAGGGGCAAACAGCTTCAACAGTGCGGCCGACGCCCGAGCCGCCAAGGACAGCACACCAGACGAAGGCCCGGTACTCAACGCCTCCACATCCTCCTCAAGTCAGGCAGAAGACAGCTCGAGAAGGGTAAAAGAAGCACAAGACTGAAGCCAAATGCCCACGGACGCGCAAATTCCCGGCAACCAAGGATGCCGAAAGGGAAAAACCTGCACATACAGCTGCACAAGGTCAACATCTAGAGAAAGCACAGGGGAGAACAAACGTGCATTAAGGCGCTCAAACTCACCACCCAGGTAAACCTGCAGAATGGTAGAAGTTTCTCGCCACTCAAGCGTGTGGGTCTGACAGAACCCATGCCATGCCCCAAACGAAAAGCAAGGGCAGTTTGCCAGCCAGGAACACTCTGGAACCTCCAAACGCACACAATACGGGAAAGAAGAACCAAACTCAAATAGGGACAGATTCATAACCGAGGCAGAAGCCGGGTCTCACGAGAGGTATGCAGCAAGAGCCTCCCGAATCTCCCATGGGAAGATACGAGAGGCAGAAAACCTCTGGAAGTATGGGGCTGAAGAACCCAAGGGAGCTCAGAACCAAACTCGAATCATACTCATACAGGGAAGTGGGAGAGTAAGAAAACCCCTCTCCCCCTGCAACAAGCCCCACGAAGAGAGCACTAACATCCAAGCGGGGTTAAAGGGGGGCCCAAGGCCTCCAGGACGACTCCTCCCTAGCCCTGGGGCAGAGCAGTCCTCCATACCCTCTACCCCTGAAGAAAAGGCAGAGTCCAGGGGAAAGGCTGAAAAGAAAGGGGCCTGCTGGTGGGACTCACAAACCTCGGCAGGAGGAACCGGCTCGAATACCTCTGTCCCCAACCCGAATGGGGCAGCCCCCAAAGCGGCCCGAGTCATTACTAACTAAACCCGGCTCAGACTCCGAAACTCTCAGACATTTGGGAGCTGGAAGCAGGGGAAAGGATGGAGGGGGGAAGGGTGCAGGATTAACAACAGGGAAAGGACCAGGGAGTGCGGACTGAACCAAAGTTGAAGCGACTAATGCCCCCAGGTCCAGGTCCCTATAACCAAAGTGGGGCAGCCGTGAGCCATCCGAGTCGAAAGCCAACCTAGCGTATTGCATCAACCTAAACCTTGCATGCAACGTGGATGCTGCCTGTACCCTAACAGTAATGTCATCAGAATAGTACTGGAGAACAAGTAGAGAACACGACTCGCAAAACTCCGAGTCAAAGGTGTCGTTGACCCAACAGGCAACATGACGGAGGCAAAAATGGTGACTGTTACCCTGAGACAAGGGTACACAGCAACCCTCAAACTCACACAAGGCGAGGTGGAACTCAGAAGACGCATCCATAGGTCTAATGAGCCCCAATTGGAATTTCCAGGGCTCACAGGCTGACTGCTATGGGAAGCTCAGGCAAGATACTGGAAAACCGGCTAGCCCCTAACTAACAAGGGAAAGTACTAAAGCTGAACCCCTGTGACGTGTACAATCACGGGGGCCTAGAGGAGGGCCACCAAAACAACAGAAGCTGATCAATAGCCAAACCAGGCAGACCCCCCTCTAGGCAAGGAAAACAAAAATAAAATAAAAAACCAGCAAAAGGATGTCCCCAGAAGGAACAGAAACCGGCCTCTGCATAGGTAGGCAAGCTGTACAGTACCTTGTTCCCCTACCAGTAAATGACACCACTTCCTACCCAAGGCCAAACAAAGGCCATGAAAATCCCAGCTGGCCTCAAGTGCAGGGTAAATGCAGAGCAGCAAAGACCCCCACAGAAGCAGTTCCCGAAAGTTCTATGGAAAAGAACCCCTAGAACCCGAGGGTAATACTGCCTAGGGAAGAAAACCCTAAGCACATGCAGCCCCAGTACTCACAAATTTTTCCTAGCCATCATGCCACACACAGAGGAGAACACACCACTAAGGTACACAACTGCCCAGAATCTGAGGCCAGAGTCAACATCCACCCCAGACCACATCAGCCAACAAACTGGAGTTGGCGAGTAGCCGGCACGGGAGGTTAGGAGGCACCCCCTCCCCCCTCCCAGGAGGGGAGGACTGCACGGACAAACAGTGTGGCGGCAGAGTGTGACGTTTGCTTGTTTCTTTAAGTAAGGGGTGTTCTGCCTCTATTCTGTCTTTGGTTGCAATTTTCTTACTATGTGGGATCTGTTTTGTTATGACTACCTTTCTAATTGTTAACCCTGGTTGATGGCATATATGGAATGCCCCCAAATACATGGGGGTTTCCATAGGCCATTGCTCCCTTTGCCTTTCCGAGGGGGCCAGGTTCTGACTCGTGGTACCCGGTAGGCTGAACTCCAATTGACTAATGCCCCAAACTAATATAACACATATCAGCCTGATAGCTCCAGGAAGCTGGAGGGGTTATCTTGAGATAATTTCGGGGCTTAGTGTCCCCGCGGCCCGGTCCTCAACCAGGCCTCCTTTTTTGTTACACACCCCCAGGAAGCAGGTCGTAGCAGCTGTCTAACTCCCAGATACCTATTTACTGTTAGGTAACAGGGGAATCAGGGTGAAAGAAACTTTGCCCATTTGTTTCCGCCTCCACTGGTGATCGAACCCGGAACCTCAGGACTACGAATCCGAAGCGCTGTCCATTCAGCTGTCAAGCCCCATGGGCTCCCTAATGGGCTCCCCACAAAAAACTATACTCTGTCTAAATTTGTGTTGTGCCAGTTAAAATTAAGCAGATGGTAATCGTGAGCCTCTTCCAGCAATTTTAATGCCTTAAGTAGGCAGCTGTCACCCACCATCTTCTAATAGAACCCTTGTAAATCTCTGTAAAAAGTTCATCTGTTACTGTAGTGACAACTTTCTTTATAAGGTATCTTAAATATAGAAACTCTAAATTCTTTTATTTTATTTTAATTTAATGTACAAAATAAATACAGAAGAGATGTGAACAACAAATTGATTTATTACTACATAATGATCTCACCTTAGTCTCATCTTTTGTTACGTTGTGAAAAACCGGACAAGCCTCAACAGAGAAATGCCTCTCGTACAGACCACCAAGATGACCAGAGGAGTCGCACCCTTCTACTGGACACTTTCGCTTTTCAATAGGAGGTAGTGGTGTGTTTTCCAAAATATCCTGAAATAAAAACCAGTACTGTATAATTCTTATAATCTAATCATAACCCGTTTGCTCTCAATTCATATAATAACTGCCAAAGACATTTATTATAAATTTAACAATAGGAATTTTCCTCAAAATCTAAAATATTTAACACTCAAAAGTTGACTATCAACATGTGTTTACTTCCTAGGTATCACCAAGCCTTAGCCTAACACACCAGGCCTTTGAGATCCAACCACTGCCTACTGAGAGGACCAGAATCTGGCTCATATTATGAGAGGGGAGCAGGGGAGATAAAAAATCAACCACAAAACTGGGAGAAACCTATAGAAAATATGAGTGCAACGAAAGCAATTGATTGCGCAAAGGAAATTTGGTATTCCTAGGCAAGCAAGGTAAATGATCATTACCCTGAGTAAGTACCCTGATTTCAGCACCTAAAATAGAAAACTATGGCAAATAGTTAAACCAGAGAGAATACCAGACAGCAGTCTAAATGAACAGTTGTACACAAATAACCTCTTGCAGATGGGTGACAGATTTGCCTTAAATCAGCAAATAGTAGAGCCAACTAGAAAACACCCTAGATCTTATTTTCACAATGATGAACTGATTAGGGACATAATGATTGCAAATACATGTTACTCAGATCACAACCAAACTGAAGTTCAGACAAGTGTGGGCAATTGACCTGTACAGACAGTCTCGAATCAAAGAGGAGGAGAATTCAGCAAATTCAATTTTGATCAGAAATGAATTAACTGGAATCAAACAAACCAAGACCTCGCAGAAATATGCTGGGAATGACAGCTAGAAAAATACAAACTTAAACCAGTGTCTAGAGAAAATAGACAGTAGCACTAGAAATATGTGCAAGTCACATACCATTAAGGAGAAATAGAAAAGATGCAAACTGGAACAAGAACGGCATTCCTTCTATAGGCAAAGAAAACAAATCACAAGACATCTCAGATGCTCCACTCTATCCCAAGAATGACAAAGAAGACTACCCTGTATGCAGAAAAAGAAATGTGTGAGAGTATGGTATGTCAAGATATCCCACAGCTGACTTGAATGGCTCATTGCAGTGGGCCATGCACCTAGTCGTGCACGGCCCTATCTCTTTTATCCCTGGATGGAAACTGTCATATTGGGTGTTCCCAGGATGCCCACATAACCAGGAATACTTTTAACATACGGAGGCCGCCGTATGCCCAAGGGTAAATTAGATACAGGAAAATTAAGCATTCATGCCATAGAGTCATTGGGTACACAGCTTGAGGTGCAAGGCGTGAGAGAGAGGGATGCCTGTGAGGCGAGAGATAAGCTCTGACCTCTGGGATCAATCTCAATAACACCAGTGACGTAGTCGTGATGTGTTCATGACGTCACCTCTGCTCATGTAACGATCAATATCATTGGTTTTGGCACCTTTGCTGCAATGCCATTGGTTACTTGTAGACCTGGTGTTTGTGCCCCATGAGGAACCCTGCAATTCCTTGCAAGGGTATTCTCGTGAGGAAGTCCGTACATGGTTGACCGTCCATTCCTCCCGTCAAGTTAAACTCAGCGTCTTCTCGATATACCAACGTTCGCCCGGAATCACGATCGTGACTATATTGTTAAGAAATCTTCTAGAGTGAAAAGTCTGTGAATCACCAGAGCGAAACAGACTGGTATCAGGTAACCCCTGGTGACAAATTGAGATAGTCTGTGAGTGACCTAGAATGAACTAAGGAAGTGCCACCGCCCAAGTAATCTGTGTGTGTGACTTTACCACAGTGTACTGTACCTGCATGGTACCATATAACCAGCCGCCGCCAGCTGCCACTCAGATCCGAGCGCGTAGCCAGCCGCTGCCAGCCGCCTCCACTTGTTCCGCCCTCACGGTACTACGTGACGTCACCACCTTACTCACCACCAGTGCCATCAAGGGTGTATTCACCTAGTTGTGTTTGCGGGGGTTGAGCTTTGCTCTTTCGGCCCGCCTCCCAACTGTCAATCAACTGTTTACTCACTACTTTTTTTTTTTTCCCCATACCACACACACACACACCCCAGGAAGCAGCCCGTAACAGCTGACTAACTCCCAGGTACCTATTTACTGCTAGGTAACAGGGGCATTCAGGGTGAAAGAAACTTTGCCCATTTGTTTCTGCCTCGTGCAGGAATCGAACCCGCGCCACAGTCCTGCGCGCTATCCACCAGGCTACGAAGCCCCTAACCCCCTAGGCTCTGAGGTGTGTGTGTGTGTGTGTGTCTGTTAGGCATACAGTACGCCCTCCTATGCGAGTACCCTCCATGTCAAGTACGGTGTATTGGAAAAGCCTGTCGTCAGTGTCTCACATCATAATGAGCGAAACCTACTGTCAGGCCACCTACGAGTTCTTGCATAAATGTGCACGATTGAATGAATGGGAGAGGTAGCCTACCTGTAAGTACAAGATCTTGTGTTTTATTATTGTGTCTGTCTGTGTGTTGATCTGAGGGATCAACCACAGTTCTCACCTTCTCATACCTGACCCAGGTATTGGTGGACACCTGACAGTGTATGCGTGTTTATCTGTGTAGTACCACAACATTACACTCGTCTGTGAATGTGAGTTTCGCATACACCACACATTTAGTTATTGTGTGACAATTATTGTGCATGATTATTGCCTGCCCATTGACAGTGCCATTGTGATTTATTGTGCATCATCATTACCCCGAGTATCTGGACAAACCTGCCAGGACATCCGCGAACCAACATGGGCACGAGGACAGAGCGCTTGCTGGCCAATCAGTATTACCATGTAGAAACTGCAAGGCACACACACCCCCCTCCCCCAAGGCCACCTGGGCCCAGGCACAGGAACAAGAAACCAGGCCACCAGAACTCCGTGTGAGCCCCAATACCCTTGCACCCAAAGATAAGTTCAGAGTGTGTTTGCAAAGCCAGCCGAGAAGTGGCAAAGGATGAACATTATGGGTGCAAGGAAAGACCACAGGGTGGCGAGACACGTTTCCATATTTGTTTTCTTCAGACAACCGAAGAAAACAAACATGGGAACCAGGAAAGCAGGCAACGTGAATTTTCACAAAGAGCCCATCAAGGCAGAACTGGCAGCATATCGGAAGTAGCGACATCGCCACCGCCAACACAAGGAGCATCCGTGACCAAACAAACAAAGCAAAAGAGGCCAGGGGTCTTGACCAAAAGCCAACTGAAATGAACTTTGCTAGAAAGGAGGATATGGCCGCAATGAACAACCACCTGCAGGCCGAAAAAAATCCAACGTGGGAGAAGAGCAAGTAGCTCATGCACCTGACAACTGAAAACAGAAACAAGTCTGGACTGAAAGGGACACTTGACACCCACCATTGGAAAATAAACAATACAGATCTTGAGCAGCTGACACAGGAGCAGGCTGGGGACTCACAATACAATGCATGACATGAAGAAAAGACCAAAAACCAAGAGTGCCATAAACCCCACGCTGAGAAGAATTGCAGGTGGGACGCCTTCAATGAAACCACCAAACTGTCACAGAGACGGTGAAAAAACCAGAGTTGAATGTAATGAAACGCCATTTTCTGGGTGAGACCCGGAGGCTCCCTGGAGCTTACTAGGCTGATATGCTAATGTCAAACTTTGGCATCAGTCATGTGTATGGAGTTATGTGGGCCTACCGGGGACCACGAGCCACAATCTGGCCCCCTCAGAGAGGCATGGGGAGCAATGGCCTATACACACCCCAGTGTGGTTGGAAGCATTCTATGTCTGCCATCAACCGGGTCAGGCACCCAGAAAGGTAAGCATCCCAAAACAAAACCCCTATTCTGGTGAAAATATTGCTACCAACAGCCGAACAAGTGGATAGAACTCCCCTAAAAAACGAGCAAACGAGCATGACGTCACACGTCGCCGCGCCGCTGTCTGTGCAGCTCCGCCCTCCCCGGGAGGTGGAAGGGCGGCGGGGCCCTTCAGAGGTCCGACTGGGCCCCTGAACGTTCACGAAGTAACAGGCAGCCAGGATCCTGTTCAACTGCCAAAATCCCCGTGCCCGAATGTCAGCCCAGGACATGTTGCCAAAGATGGCAGCAAGAGCAGCGAACTTACGAATGCCATGGGCATGGTGATAGACTGCAGGCTGGCTAGCCTTAGGAACTCTGCGGACGACCTGGGAGACCCCGCACCTGCGAACAGGGAAGAAGAGAAACCAGAGCAACCCAAAGCACGTCCCCGGACACAGAGGCAGAGGTACGCAAGTAACAGCAGAGGGCCGTAACAAGACACAAAAATATACATATATATAAATATATAAATTGAGGGAGGGGCAGCTTGCTGCCCCTCCCTCAATTTTCTGCCCCGGGCTGCCTCCCTCCTCCGCTCCAAACGAGTGGGGGGGCAAATGAGCTAGTGCTATTTTGTGAATTTTACTGTTTATATTGTTAGAAGAGTTCTTTTGGCAGTTCTTGAGGCCTTGATCTAGCTCATAAGCAACAGTGATCTGTTTTGTTTCACTGACTTTCGATGTGGCATGATTAATGTTCCTAAGCCCAAATAGTAATGTGTGGCTTTGGTCCATGTAACCCGGCCTGGTTTCTCTTCTTTGTCTTGGGAACCTGCCACCTCTCCTCCTGCCTGGTAAGTCTCTCTCTTATTTTCTGTGTTTAGCTTCAATCTCAGGAAGATAGCTTCAGGGAGCCACTGGGGCTCCTCCAGAAATTGGTATTTTATTATATTCAACACTTATTTTTTGGCATACATCGAGAAGCATATAAAATATTTGGGGCAAAGGTAAGGATTCATTGATTTAACAATAAATAAATTTGGTAAAGAAAAATTACAATTGTTAAAGAAAGCATAAACATACCAATGGAATTGGCTTTTTCGTTTTGGCACGGGCACCTGACTTTGTAGGTGCTCCTGCTGGCTTTTTTGGCCCTCCATTCCGAGAACCTCTTCGTATCTTTCCTAGAAAATACAACCGTCATTAAGAATCAAGACTGTAATGTATATGAATATACAGACATGCTACATTTAACATAAAAATTGGAAGTTGAGTACTAGAATATTAAAAGAAGTTTGTAACATTTAAAAGAAATTACTTGCCCCAGCCTCATTTAAGTTCAAACCTTACAATACAGTATTACTTTAATACAATAACTGAACTTAATCTGATAATATTAAAGGATCATCTCTGTAGTTCTTTGCCTAAGCAGAAAATAATGAGCTTCAACATTGGTGACTTTATATTACCCATAATAATGAGGCTGACCCATTCATTTGTACACCTTGTATTAATACACAATATTTATCAGGAAGTTTATCAGATCACTCTTTAGTAATATAACTCACTTCTGAAAAGACAGTCAGTTAGCCAGGACAATTCTGGAATTTCATAATGCACCCAATACAGGGAAGAAGAACCGAACCCAAACGAACTCGGATCCAAATCCGAAGCATAGACCGGGTTGCCTCTGCCGGGGAAAACTGGGAAGAAGGAAACCTCCTGAAGGACAAATCCAAAAAATCCAAAGGTACACAGAAACAAACCTTGAGTGGAGCCAATAACTTACGGAACGCACAGGGAAGGAAACCCTTAGTACATGTACCGCCAAGTACTCTATAACTCCTGGCTCACGCTACACAAATGTATATAAGAACAGCCCCAAAGGCAAACACCACTCAAAAACAGGAGACTTGAGCTAAAGCAAACTGAGAGGGTGCCCTGCCCCATGGGCAAACTACCTCGCACTAATTTCACGAAATTTCAGTTGTTTGTTTTTATAGCTGGGGAGTTCTTTTGGCATTTTTTTTTTGTGAGGCTGTGGTCTCTGTTTTAACCATGCAGAACTATCATTTGTTTTGTTTTGCTGACTTTCTGGGTGCCCTTTCTTAGTGACCAACATGATAAACTTTAAAGGTAAAGTGTTCATAGACTCCCTGCTCCCTCTTTGAGGGGGCCAGGTTCTGGCTCATGGTCCCTGGTAGGCCAATAAGAATTTCATGACTGATGGCACCTAGTATTGTGGCACTGTATCTATGTGACTGCATCAAAAAGCTTCAAGGGTTTTCCTCCAGAAAAGAAGACACCAAGGTACTGTTGTCGCTGAACATAAGCAACAGCAGCTATGCCAGCAATGAACGAAAAAGAGGTTACAGTATTTAGCATGAAATGATGATCAAGAAACAACCAAAAGAGGAATGAAAACACCACATGTGCGGAGACAGAATAGTGATGATGAAGGGAAAGGAAGTGGCAGAAAGAATGTCAAGACTAACGCAGATGGGACGCCATCAAATCAGCCACCTGCTCACCATAGAAATGGGGTTAAAGGTGTGTCAGATAGACTAGACACAAACAGCCTAAGGAGAAGTCCAAATCAGTGAGGTAGGGTACATCACTGAGCCAATCTTCTGAGAGGTGGAGACATGGAAAAACACCAGGGTTCGAACACAGAACAAGCAGCACCTGAAACGAAGGCTGAGCCAGCCACCAAAGGAGCCAGAAGGACTTCCCTTTTCCTTGTAAAACTCCAACCTAGCCAGGACCTGGAACAACAGCTGGGAAAAGAGGTATAGAACCTTCCCCTGCAACCATCCACTGCAAGGGCCTCACAACCAGGGATCGGAGCCACACTATGTGGAAGGAGCCCATTCGAAACTGATGCAATAAAATTCACATTGGGGAAACGAGTTTCTCGCAAAGTCACTGGAAGGAAGCAGCTTCGAAAGTCCACTTTTTGAAGATGGGAAGTAAATGAGAAAGACCTTCTGTGAGTACAGGACACTCCCTGAACATGAAGAGCATGGAGAACTAAACCCTGAGAATCCAAAAGATGAGCTACATACAGTGTCCACCTCCAAAGGGAAATGGACTGAAGAAGCCCCTGTTGTTCACACAATCAAAGGGAAACAATCCAAATGAAGCCAGAGCACTGAATCCAGGGGAATTCAGATCCTCAGCTGGGAGTGCCACACAGTTGCAAACTCCCACACTGTACTATGCACCTGACTGAGTGCCACCAGCTCTGGGCGGACTGACGAGTGCTAGTCATGAAGCTCCAGCCCAGAGCCGACACATCCATAAATATGTTGAATAAAAGGCAGAGGAAGGAGTTGCTCGGTCCTTTTCCCTTCTGGGGGTTCAGCTCTTCCTGGTAGGCCTCCTCTCTTTGCCTCCATCAGGTCTTCTCGGAGTGGATGGCTTCTGGTGTGTCATATCTACTGTGTCACTTCGGTGGTTTTCCTGGTAATGAAATGGGATGCATCAGACTTCCGGTTAATCCTCGACTTTTCACGGGTGAACAGGTTTATTCATTGCCCCTCATTCCCATTAACCACTCTGTACCAGGTCCAGCTCATTGTTGGGGCAGACACTGGGATAGTCTCCCTTGGTCTCTGGGGCATTCAGTCTTGGTAAATCCCTGTACCTCCTAGGTTCAGGGGTTAGTTAGGGTTTGTGATGGGGCAGCTGGATTAATGCTTTCAGGTTCTCCCATCTGGACACCAATGGCATCAATGCATGTTCTCATGCTTGGCTTCGGTTCTTGTGACTCATCTTTGTTTGTTGGGGGGCTTCAGGTTTTGGTCTACCTCGATGTCTGGCTGGTGTGGGCTCCCCGTCTGCCTGTGTGTCTACTAGCCAGGGGTCTGGTTCTCTCCAACTTGCTGGTTTTGGGTTCCAGGTGAGCTGGTGGAAGTCCCAGTTACAGGCATACCTCAGTTTAAGAGTTTAATTGGTTCCTGGAGACGCCTCGTATTCCGAAAACTCGCATTCCGAAGCTAATTTCCCCATAAGAAATAAAGGGAAATGAATTAATCTGTTCCTGACTACCCCAAAAACCCCACATCAAACTAAATTTTTATACCTAATTCATCTAAATAAACCTACAAAACTATGTTCAAGTTATTACTTACCTTGCTGTTGAATGCTGTAGGCGTATGGAAGATGGTGAGGAGGTGGGAGGAAGAGAGGAGTTACTGTTTGGAAGGGGAGTCCCCTTCCATTATCACATCAGGCAGTGAGGACTTCACTGGTATGCACACTCTGGCACATTTTGCCTGCATACCACTAGGACTTGCTTGTTTTACTAAGAATTTATCTAATGACACTTGTTTTTCCCTACATTTTAACACTTGTCTGTAGTAAGACATCACATTATCATTTAAAAGGTCAATGCAACGGCCTGCTACAGCTTTATCTGGGTGAGTTTTTTCAACAAAACTTTGCAGTTCTTCCCATACTTCACACATTTTCTTAATCAAGACGGGACATCCTCTACTGCCTCTACTCACAGCTATTTTCTTAGGTTGAACCTTACCAATGGCTTTCTTGAGACCCATGGCAAGATATATAATGACAACTTTTATGCTCAAATGGCCAAAAAAACGATAAAAAACTGTAAATCCTTGTGAAGAATTCAGGTGGGATAGTCACTGGACACGAGACACTGGTAAACTGAGGCGCGATCGCCATGCCACCATGCGCCAGTCGGCCTGTACACGTATCAACAAACTCGCGTCCCGAGGTAACCCTCGCCTTCCGAGACATATTTTTGGAGTAAATCCTGCTCGTCTTCCAAAAAACTCGCATACAGGGACACTCGCATTCCGAGGTACCACTGTACTTCCATTCCGGGTTCAGACTTGGGTGGGCCTGATGTGGGACTGTCGGTCAATGTTTCTCTTTCGCCTCCTCTGACCACCTTGACTCGGCTGCATCACTTTCATCTGTTGATGTTCAGTTGGCGACTCAACCCAAGCGACTTAAGTGTTGCTCATGCTATTGTTTGAAAGCCTGAACTTTGCCTGCATGGTTTGTCTTCTGGGCAGGGTGAGGCTTTGGCAGCTGTTCCGATACCTCTGGAGTGGCCCCTTTCACTGCAGCAGCGATCACTGGGTGTAGGGTTGCTTTGTTCCTTCGTGAGCTCCTGTGTTGCCGGTTTCCTATTTGGGTCTTTCAGGTTCAGTTCCTGGCACCAATCTCTGCCTTCATTCAACGTCTTCATGAACTCCTTGGCTTTGGGTTGCGGTTTTTTTACCAGCACTCACCAAGTTGGCCAAGGTAGAAGGTCTCCTCTCCTTCATTGGGCTCACAGTACAGTTCGGGAGTTTGTGGCTGTGTGGCACATGCTGCAGAGCGTTCTGATTCCAATGTGACCCAGCTCCATTCAAACTGCTTCCCTATTATTCATTATCTCAAATGAAGGATTCACTTAGGTCCCTGTCTCTTTGGAGCTTCTGCAGAGTTCTTGGGGTTTGACTTCCCACACTGTTCATGTCTTGGGAGTGTCTGTGACCAACCCGTCCTCTTAAAAATAACGTCACTTTTCGCTGGTATGCGCGCTATGGCCAAATTTGGACGTAATTTTAAATGAAATCGACTCACAAAAGTGACGTACTGTTCCGTTTTCTGTTTGAGTCGTCCAGTCAACTCAGTAAGCTTAGAAGAGGCAACTTTCCAGTAACGTTTTTATACCGTTTTGAAACTTTATAAGAATTTCCTGCCCACCTAACCTATCAGAGGATCCTTAACTTACTGTTGTTGAAAAAAAGAATCCCAAATTTATTTTCATTTTTTTTTTCATTTTCAAATTACGTCCATATTCAGCCATACGGGCAAACCTCCAAAAGCGACGTTCTTTTTAAGAGGACGGGTTGCTGTGACAGCCTCTCCTGTTTACTTCCCATTCCATGGAGTGGACATTGATGCTTCTGCCTCTTTCCTATGGCTTTGCAAAATGTATGGGTGTCCAGACATTCGCATGGAATCAGTACCTCTCTTTGTGCACAGCTCCATACTCCATTCATGAGGCCCTTGTGGTGGATGCTTTTCTATATTCCTGGTCAAGGAAGGGTATTCCTGCACCTCTTCCTACCTGTACTCACCTAGCTGTGCTTGCGGGGGTTGAGCTCTGGCTCTTTGGTCCCGCCTCTCACAGTTAATCAATCTGGTGTACAGATTTCTG